CAGAATAGATATAGCTCTTAGAAACTGGGTTATAGGTTAGATGGTTTAAACTAGTGATAGGTATTCCTCCCTTATAGAAACTCACTTGATATATAAAATATCATATCTTTGATATACAGTTAGTATATTGGGTTCAAAAATATGGACAGTAAGCTAATATGTCACAGTATTAGGCAATGTTGATTTATAATTATAGACTATATAATCGGTACAAACAGTACAATTTCCAATTGTAAAAGTATACTTGATATAGTTCGAAGATTACTCACATATCAATAAAGATTTGTATCATTATATATTTATCTATAAAAAAAAAAAAAAAATCTTTTTATTAATTCTTTTATTAATCCAAAAAACAAATATTTTTAAAAGATTTTATAAATAAAATCTATATACTTTTTTAACAATACTGATTTCTTAATTAATAAAGTGAATAGCAATTATTACTTATTATTTTTTTTTTTTTAAAAAACTTTTCTTATTTATTTTTATGATTAAATATAAAATCTACTTAAAAGATTTAAAACAAAAAAATTTTTAAAAAAAAAAACCAAAAAAAAAAAATATATTTCTAAAAATTTTAAAAAATTCAAGAATCTAAAAAATAAAAAAAAAAAGTTTTTAATTTTTTTATTATTATTTTAACTTGTTACTTTTTTTTTCTGAAACATATTTTTTTTTCTAATTTTTAATAAATTTTGCCTAATTCAGTTTAATTCTAAATGGGTTGGTTATATAATATCTCTTGAAAAATAATTGATTAAGATTACAGATTGATTAATTATATCAGTTATAAAAAAATAAATAAAACATATTCTTTAATATATTTTCAGTTACACAATATCAAATCAATGATATACAGTAATTAATTATTAAAATAGTTAAATAGTTTTTAGTTAAAGAAGTAATATAAGAGTATTAGATAAAAATAAAGTTATAAGTAAAAGAAATAATCTTTTTTTATTTTGTTTTCTTTTATTTATTTTTTATTTTTTCTAAAAATAAAAAGTAATATAAGATTCAAATTTTATTCTAATTTAATAATAAGTTAAAATAATAATATTTATCTTAAAAATAGTTGAAGAAAGAATTTTAAAACTATTTATTAATTAAATAAAACAATAATTCAAAAAATATGGCTTAGGAGAAAAATCAATAATAAAAAATCAATATTTTTTTAATTAGAAGTTTTTAAATATAAAGTTTCAAAAAATATTCTTTTAGAAGTACCCTTAAATATTTTTGAATATTATTACTTCAATAGAAATTAAATAGTTTGGCTGATAACTAATAATAAAAAGTAGGTATATAAAGAATTTGGATTTTTATTTATTAAGATAATTTTTTTAATAATAATTAAAATAAATGATGATTTTTTTTTCTTTTTTTTTGGTATTTTTCTTTTTGTACATATTTGTATTTTTTTCTTTTCTAAATTTTTTTTTCTTTTCCTTTATATAGTTTTTGCAAAAGAATAATACAAATTAAATTTTATAGTCATAAATATAGAGATGATCTGCAAGTTTTAATCTTATTGAAAGTATTGAATCTTAATCCTATTCATTAGGAAAACAACATATTACTCTCATAAATCACATCTAGAGATTTTGGTTATTAATGGATAAGCTGGATTAAGAAGATTTATATTTTGCATATATTCTCATACTTGTAATGATTCTATAATTTAATAAATAAATAACATCAGCATAATTGCAGATATAATACAGTTATACAGTATATATATAAGTAATATACAATGAACATTATTTATTAAATATTTTTCAATACATATTTACTTTTTTAATAACTAACATCATTATTATAAAAACTCAAAAAATTTCAAATCATTGAAAATCGATTATTATAAAATCAACCAAAAATGTTGCTATTAATGTACAAGGAATTATGTAATGTTAGCCAGCGTTTACAAATATATTGTAATTATTTCATCTGCGTAAACCTCGATTCAGATCCTATTTCCGGATCCTTGTAAGACTTAACAATATTGATCAGTTCATACAGCCTTTTTACTTTTTCATTCAAATGTTGAACGCCTACCACTTCGTTACCTGTACCCAATTTAGTCAAATTATTTGAAGTTGATCTAGAATAAATTACAACAGAATCTGTGATGCTTTTAGC